CCGCCACCGGAACAGATCAAGACTAACGCGATGGAAACGAGCTGCATCGGTGCGGCAAAGGGGTCTTCCTTTGGGGTCGGGAAATGACCGAGCTGTCTCTTCAAGAAGAGGAGATAACAAAGTTGCAGAAATTTTGGACCCACAGAAAACAATCCCATGATTAAGGTGCACGAAATTAAGGAGGGAATAAGTTGGCGGAAGTTTCGAATCGCTTTGAGACGTCGGGTATTTGGGTCATAAATGATGGGAGTGGGGATTTTGCGGTAAATGGCGGCGTAAGCGGACATGATGTCGAAAATTACTTGAGTCATGGTTGATGATGATTTTATTATGGGGAAATGTGAGAATTTTAGGTAAAATTTCGATGGTCAGACGAGTTGGTCGTACCAAAAATCAGAACGTGTTGCCAAATCCTACTGTGTCGTAATAACCCAGTGGATAGAATATATTTATAGCAAAAACTTTGATTGCTTCCGACCCAATTAATTTTTGTGAAGGTATGGATTTAGAACACTGAGGGGTCAATTAGTAAGTATATAAATACATTCAGATCTACACATGTATGTAGCTCTAGTTTAGTTACGCCTTGATGAAAACTGATTGTTTAAAAGTAGCCAAATGACATCTAAAGTTTTTAAGGTTTAAAATTTGTTAGTGATGCATTTATCTTTTTTCACGGCATTAATTTCAGAATCTAATAAATACGTATATACATATGATGAGTTTTAAGTTGATTGCTTCGTGGTTATTAAGAACAAATTTAAACGAACAAGGTGGGTCGATTTTTATCTTATACATGTGGATTCATAACTTTAATTAGATTAGTTTATTATGTAAAGGCCTTGAAGAAAATGGCAGTCAAATTTGCTTTAAAAAATCTTTATGTCGCATTACTTGTTGAAAAGGTACTTTGACTTAATAGGATTTTTATCTGTACTTAATTTGGATGACTAGATGGCTTGTTTAAAGTGGGTCAATATCATCGCTACTTTCCGAAATTGCAGTAAAATATTACATAAAGTAATAAACCGTAGTGACGTTAGAAGTAGCTCACCCTGTCATAATGATTGACAGAACTTTGCACCGCAGGTGCGGAATAAGCCCACAAAATTCAAAATGATAACTTTTATATATGCTTGCGCCAAGGGTGCAATACAAACAAAAAAAGATATAAAGAAAATGGGGAAATTCCTGTGCATCACTCCGGAGAGTGGTCAAAGCTGGTAATTTGGGCAAAACCGTAGTAACGTTAGAAGTAGCTCACCCTGTTAAAATTATTTAGATAGAACTTTGCACTGAAGCTTCGGTGCAAAGTGCCATACTAGTGCACCTTCGCGAAGGTGCACAATAAGCCGACAAAATAGATCATAATTATTATATATTCTTGCACCTATGTATGGTGCAATATAAACGGAGAAATGTAGCAAATGCACAAATTAGTTGGACCACTTGTGCAACATTAGCGTCACTTCGGCTACATAATTTTGAAAATTTTATGTCAAAATTGTATGATTATTTCTCCCGGATATTCTGCACTATTAGTGCGTTTTGCACCCAGTAGCCCCTATTATTTCGCATCATTTTGGGTTCTCAATTGTTAGATACCAATGGTGCTATTAACTCATTAAAGAATGGACTTGATCGATTTTTATTATATTCATTAGTTATTCTGCACTTTTGGTGCATCTTGCATCGATTCCCCCAATTGTTTCACACCATTTTGGATAACCGATTGTTCTATACTAACGGTGCTACCTATTCCGAAATTGTAGTCATTTCTTGATCAATTTGCACAATTAATTCGCACCATTTCCGCCACGGCTTGTTCGATACCAATGGTGCTCCTCAGACCGGTAATAATGAAGCAGGGACTTATTAATTCGCATCAATTGATGCAAAAAACTCGTCAACAGACAGACGGACAGACGGACGGACGGACGGACGGACGGACGGACAGGAGGAGTTCAATAGCTCTCATGCTACGCAGGGTGAGCTAATAAATGCAACAAGTCGTTCCTTCGACTAACTTTTGGAGAATAATGAAATGTTTATGAATAAACCGTAGTAACGTTAGAAGTAGCTCACCCTGTAATAATGATTTGGTTATAACTTGCCCCAAAGGTGCAGAAAAATACAACAAAGCAGATCAATAATTTTTATGCAATATTGCACCAATGGTGCAGATAAATTTAAAAAAATAGATCAATAATTATTGTGCATCGAGGACAGTCCAAAAATTGTACCTCACTGGTGCAGAATTACCTACCAACATTCCACGAAAATTTTGAAAAATTTATGTCAAAATTGTCTAATAAAATCCGCCGAGTAGTATGCATTATTGGTGAGTTATGCATCAACGCCCCCAATTCTTTCGCATCATTTTTTGTTTCCGATTATCAGGTACCAACGGTGCTTTTAATTTATGAAAAAAATGGACCAGGGACATTTTAATTAGCATCAATTGATGCAAAAAGGTCGTTAACATACAGACGGACGGACGGACAAGAGGAATTCAATAGCTCCCGTGCTACGCAGGTGAGCTAATAATGAAAATTATACAAACTGAGAAATAAATACATAGCAAACTCAACTAAATCATGAAGTTTCATACATATGTATGTATGTATGTACCAACCAGCGAGATATAAGATTTGGTTTAATTGTGTAAACTTGCATTTAAGATGACTTTGAATTTGAAATTAAATATAGTGAGTGTAAAGGGTGTTGAATAAATTCGCCAACATTTCGTACTGCAAAGAAAATGCTTGTTTTCGAAAAGTGAAGGTATGACGAATCCCAACTTTTTCTGAGAGATACCTTAGTAATTGGTCATTCCACAATGGACTTCAATCATGCCACGAATTCTTCGAGTTAGGCTCTGTGCAGCTATATATTAGTCGTGCATAAAACATACATGTTACCACAACTTCCATATCACATTTCAGGATCCTAATTAATGATTGGTCCGATTTTTTTGCTGTTCCGTATTCTCTAGTTTGTTAATGTAATTTTGGGTATAACTCAATTTGAGATACATCCGTGCAAAGGATATGACGAGGAAATTCTGTAGGTTGTCAAATACCCACTTTTTCAATGCGTTTACGCAAATGCAGCTCGGTCAACAATATTTTTATTGGACGCATGATTTTTTTTGGTTAGCCTCCAAATTCTGTGACAAGATTATGCAGATTCGACGATAGTTTTCACTACAATGAACTATTCATACTTGATTTTCATTTAATCCGTTTTCCGTAGTTCCACTCCCTTGCACCATTTAGACAAGAACTTCCAATTTTCGAATAAATTTCAGCATAGTCTTCGTTTTCCTGGTAGATCGGATCAATTCGGGTTGTACAGGTTGTTTTTAATCCTTGAAAAAATTTTTGTTCGCGCTTTGACACGAACTTTTTCCGGTACATACGAGTTTTGGTGGAATTTTTATTTATTTCGAATTCCCCGCTTCTAACACTGCTATGCCAATGTTATCATGCTTATAATTAGCACTTGTCTTGCCTCCAACCATGGTAAAAATTTCAAAGAGAAATATTACAGGGGTCAATGTTATAGGTAATTTTGTTCCGATCCCAGGCCGAAAAATTGATGTTGGCGAATTAAATCAACACCCTTTAGAAAAGTGATCCATACATACACATGTACATACATACAATTGTCAATCTCTGAAAATGAAAACTCCACAATATTGAGTTCACCCCGCATAGCCTCACATGGTGAAAATATGCGTTTTTGCTAACATAAGACTTTCCTGACTTTGCGAATTCTGTAAAAGTGCTAAAGTACAATAACCAACTACTTTTTGTATTTAGTTACTTGATTTTTTAGTGCTGTTTTTTAGAAAATCCGTGAGAAACATGTCCGACATGTGCATTGTTTAACACTTGATTTCTAAGACTGTACCAGTTCAAGGGTATGGTTATTGAATGGGCTTCCTCGTTTGTCCAGGTGAAAAGATCCCAATGCCATGAATATAAAGGGAGATCGTAGTTTAAGTATTGATAGTAGATATGTATTTATACTGGGACGTTTTTGTATATGTGTCTCATCAGTCTGACTGTCCTGTATATATTATTGGAGTTGAAGGTACGTGTGAAAGTACGTGATCCAGTAGGAGAGAATTTGGTAAGAATAATTTAATAATGTCGTCGATTCCTGTACTCTTTCTTATCCTCGTCTCCACGTTTGCTGGATTTATTTCCTCCTGTAACCGACGTAAGTAGTCTTGCATAGTATTCAATTACATACATTTTATTAGAAAAATTGTCCTACTCTAATTTAAAATATACAAGTATAATTCCTATACTGCTAATGGGAAGTTTACTAGCCTTAAAATTAATGGTGGGGTTGACGATGCCCCCACCCCCTACTAGCCAATTCTTGGAATAAAGGACAGATATTGGGTGGGTGGGAAAGTATAGGGAATTTCATCGCCGGTGTAATTATTAATTTCTTGTAAGAGAATATAAAGCCCCGATTTGTGATTATAAAGATGATTGATACATAAATTCTGCAAGAAATCCAAAAGCTCTGCGGCTAGATGGTGTAACATCATGGATGGAATTGCATGGAAAGGAGTTTAATATCTCTCTTTGAATTATTATAAATAGGCAACTTCAAATCTGGACTGGAGGACGATGCCAACCGGCGTATGATTCCGGTCTGCAGGAAGCAGAAAGTAACAGGGACCGAATTTTTTGTGCTTACTGAAAAATTGGCAAGCGTCGTTTCTTCCCTTGGTGTCATTACTTCAATGGATGTCACACTTTTCAGTAATTATTTTCAGTAAATGCATTCGCTCTCTTGACTATTGGTCATCATCATCATCATAACCAAGAATTGTGCAGTGGGTCGTGTCCACAATTGAATTTGGCGCTTGAATATTCGCAGGAGTCTCACATTGCCCCATATTTATTTTAGTTACCGGCCAACGCCACCTAGCGGAACTTTGAGCAACCATTTTGCATTTTTCGGCGCTAGGGGGCGTTCTTCGCCGAAAGTACAAAAACGTTCTCAAAACGTTGCCTACACCAGAACAACCAGTGGCGCCCCGAATTGGACGAGACTTGAAATTCTCACCCGTGGAGTATTTACGTGACCTCTAAGCTCGGCACATTCCTTAAAATTGTTACTCAACCTGGGACCTACGCCCTTAGAGTTGTAACTTGACGGTGACATGGAAGGCGCTTCTACCTTATGAAATAAAGCCTCATGTTTGCCTAGAGCCCGCAAAGCGGGCTACGGAGACTAGTTATGGAATAAATGATCGCAGGATATTTTCGCGCGAAAATCACGTGCCCACTTGATTACATTGGGAGCGGGGTGAAATTCAATTTAAACCTGCGATCAGTTATTCCTTACTGCCCAATACACGCCACCACTATTCTGTTTTTTACACAGATTCTAACGAGTCAAGGAACTTCATGAATTTTGCGGCATTTAATGGCTTTAAAGCTGTTCAAAGATATAACAGAGGTACCCTCGCGGACGAAATTTTTGGCCGGGCAGGGATAAAGATTGTGACCACCTCTGCAGCTGCTGAACTAGATGTAGAAGGTGTCCAGATAATAGCATCTGGGAAAACGTCGAGAACCGTTATTGGAACAGTAAAGTCAGGGGGTAATAAATAATTTCATAACAAAAAGACTCTTAAAAAATAGCAATGCAAAATTATAATAAAGTTATGAATTTACAGCCCCAAACAGCATTCGTGAGCCGTCCTTGCTGGCAATAGATAATTTTTTCTTTCGTGGAGGAGTCGAATTAAACCACCAGCTATACTTTTTCCACTCTTTTACCAAATTTCCACCGCTCGACCAAGTAATTCGTAAGTATTAACTATTATAGGTACACAATTAAATAACTACCAGCCGATAACCAAAATTGATTTATTTTTCTTCAGAAATATTGACAAAAGAGACCGATTTCAAACTATTAGAACTAAAAATGTCTGACGCGTATCAGAATGTTAGCCAGAACATGATTGTTTTGAGGGGTCTGTCGGAAAACAATAACAAGGGCATGCTGGGAAAAGAACATTTCCTGGAATTAAGTGGAATCACCATGTTGGGAGGGGTAAACCTGCATTGACCAATTCTCTAGTTATAACCTAAGCTGAGGAAAGTTTGGTCAAATCTTGTGGGGCTAGATTATAGCCTATATATTTATTTATCTACTTTTTAAAACATGAATGTATAAGTATTCTTATCCGACCCATTTAAATTTGCAACATAATGTCGGGAATATAATTAATCTGCTGGTCTTGCTGGATCAGAACATATTTATTTATTATGAAATGTTTACAATTTTTCACTCTTTGCTCTATATTTTTCCTCATGGGGAATTTTCCCCGTAAAGAAGGAAATAATTAACTATTCTGCAATAATTTGACATTGGTTTACCCTCCAATAAAATCTCCGATCTGATATGTCCACTCCGTTTTGAACTTGCACTTCCAAACCCAAATCATTTTCCACACTGGAATCGAAAGAAATTAGTTTTCAGATCATTACCAAATAAATAATTTGTTGCATAACCGCACTCTAAATAAAGTTGTAGAAAATTACTCAAGGATGAGACAATTAATTGGGTAAATAAAATTTACCCATTTACACAACGGTTGGATAAATTTTACCCAATTGTTTTGCCATCGTCCATTTTATTCGAGTAAATTTTACATAAGTTTATTTAGAGTGCCCATAAATTTGATAAATACTTACTCAGAGTAGCGGAAGCTAAATCCAGAATAATACTTGTGGCGGAACATGAAACTCGAAGATTGACTCAAATCCCAATATGCACTGCCTGGTACGGTACCAGGATTTGTGTATTCCTACCAATTAAGAAATGTGAATTTACTTAACGTTTTGGCGTATTTTAAAGTAGTAATTTCATAATATGGAACAATTAGTTATGTACATTACTGTGAGTGACGCACTCCGTGTCCGTGAGAAACATAGGGTCAAAGCAAAAAGGGTCTGTGGGGTTGGACGTAAAATATTTTGAAACTTTGCCATAATTCCGAAAAAATTAATAAGGGTATTCGTAATTTCGTCGTAACCTTAGTACCGTAACATAGTTTACGATGATAAAACAAGGGGTCAGGTCAGGTTTCGTAAAAATCGGAAGTGTAGGAACGTGATTTTCGATAACAGGATGGTACAACGCTTACAAAATTTCGTAAGCGTCGTAAGTTGTTTTACGATTCGAAGAATACTAAGGATACGAAGAAATAATGAATACCCTCAATAAGAATTTTGTTTTTCGCATAAAATTTTCTATAAGTGTTTTCCACATAATGGAAAAGTTTCAAATTTTTTACGTAGTACCCCCTCAGACCCTGTTTTACTTTGCCTTGCTCTGTTTCTCATGGGCACAAATTTTATGGCTCACAGTATTTAATGGAAATCGAGAACAGAAATTGCGTAATATTTACATATGTATAAAGCCTTGTTATGCATGCTAAAATTGTCCAGTTACCCAAATAAAAGGATAATCTATCGAAGGACTCAAATAAAGACCGTAGGAATATTGTTCGTTTCCAGTTCCAAGAGCTGAACGAAGCAGATAGCTGGAGTTGAAGCCTGCATAAAAAAATTCAGGATATGCATGACAAATCGAGCCAGATTACATAAATAATTTATTGTTTAAACAACTCGACTTACTGATAAAGTTCAACCTCCAAACTTGAGACAGGTCTGTGCAATCGCTAATGTGTGGCATTAAGTGGACTTTTTGAGAAGGTGAAAGTGTTGATCCGTACACGGTCAAGGCCACCTGCGCAAGGACAGTGTTTAATTCTGTAGTGATGAGGTTAAGCAAGTAGGAAAGTTAGGTCACGTGTCTTCAGAAATGAAAGTGAAGACAAATCACATATACAAAAACGAAGACAGTACAATTTTGAGCACGACTTTGGACAAAATTTTAGAATTTAAGGTATGTAAGGATTTTGGGGACTTACTCCGGGGTCAAAATCACTGTAGATAGTGTAGTGGAACCCATCCTGAATTGGGTCAGGTGTCGTAGGACGAAATGTTGTGGTAAAAAATTCTGTAGTAGTTGTGGGCGTGGTTGTAGTTGGTGTAGTTGTAGTTGGTGTAGTAGTTGTGGGAGTGGTTGTAGTTGGTGTAGTCGTAGTTGGCGTAGTAGTTGTGGGAGTGGTTGTAGTTGGTGTAGTCGTAGTTGGTTCCGTGGTTGTTGTTGGTTCCGTGGTTGTAGTTGGTTCCGTGGTTGTAGTAGGTTCCATGGTTGTAGTTGGTTCCGTGGTTGTAGTAGGTTCCATGGTTGTAGTTGGTGTGGTTGTAGTTGGCGTGGTCGTCGTCGAATCCCTGAAACAGACCATATATAAAGTTTAAAGTTTTAGTTTAAAGTTTTAGTTAACGTGCATGCATAATATGCATTGCAAAGTTATTCTTGTGGGTCAACTAATTTATTTACATATTTTTAGCGAGCGCCTCAGCGCCGTAAAGATTGTTTAATATTGGTAGCCCGTGTCGCGGAAAATGAATATAACGAGATTTATGTGCGTATGTAAAAGAGGTGACGTGCAACAATAATTCTACTGTACATAAATATGTATGTGATACAAGATTATCTACATATATATTTGAATCTATGACCATATGCGTCGGCTGTGATTTTTAACGTGTCGTTGAGTTTTACTTCTGAGCGCATTTCTACTACCACCATTTCAAACAGAGCCGACCCATATCACCGGACGGTGGACATGCAAAATATTAAGGATTAGAAAAAAAATTCAATTACGGAGGATTTGTCGTCGTCACGATGACGCAAGGCGTCGAAACCTCGTGATTGCACACCATTAATGACTGATCCCAAACGGTGAAAGGAGGACAGCAGTGTCCGACAGGATTCCCGTTTGTGCATATGATAAACTTGCGACAGTCGTATGGATATGGCAGATAAGTGGGGATACCTTCCTCCCAAGGGGGACATGTAACCAGCTATTCAAGATGTTTCATAATTACAAAAATTAGTTAATAATTTCGCAACGATAGATATAAAATTTTAAGATTTTTATATGTTTACATATGTATGTATGTATGTACACTGTTAGAAATCCCGTATTAAAATTATACCAAGCGGTATTCATATAAATATTCATTACTCTACCAAAGTGGTACTGATAAGTAATACGTGTGGTAGTACATAGCTCGGTATTAAAATTTTACCATATCAGTAGCAAATTTTTACAGACCGGCAAAATTTTAATTGCCATTAAATCAACACCTGGATTAAGTACTTTACAAAATTTCTAAAAGCGTATGTACATATGTATTTAGTTAATTACTTGTATATCGCCAGGATCTATATCGCACACTAATGGCGTAGTCTGAGAAGTCGTCATTACAATAAAATGTAGAATTAAGGGAAGGATTTGTACATGTCTTAGCCGTAAAGGGGTCATTTTATTCCAATAATTAAAAATGTCGTCAATTATGCAATTAAGTCGAGGTGATTTGACAAGGATCAAGGTACGAATGCAAGTCAAGTAGTCGATTATGCCTGGTTTTGAGTTGGAAAAGATTTGTCCCCTGATTTACGCACGAGAGTGAAAAAATGTGGCCTATCTATAACAAGATAAGACCCCGTGTCACACAGAATAATGATACTTTGTCACAATGCAACTTATCTGTTACTATCTGATTAAGTTTTGAACGAGAGATTTAAATGACGTCAACGTACATACTTTTGTAATACATATATAACACAGGTAGGTTGGGTTCCAGCATAATTGTGAACGTGACTGAAAATTCTGACTTGTGAAAAATTTGCAGAAAAACTATTGTTAATAAACCGTCGCAAACGCGCATACGGAAGTAGCTTCAGACGTACTTCACCCCAAACGGTCCCACCACAACTCGGGAACACTTAATTTCACTCTATTTCACCTATAGATTAATTTTTTATAAAAATCTCATTTTGCCCCAACCACACCCCTGGCGCCTAGGGGGTGTGGCACAACTCCGGAATACATAATTTTACTCTATTTCACCTATAGATTAAATTGCACTAAAAATCTCATTTTGCCCCCACCACACCCCCTGTCGCCGAAGGGGTGCGGCAAAATCGGGGAAACACTCAACTTCACTTAATTTCACTTAATTTCATTTAATTTCACTCAATTTCACTTAATTTTACCCATAGATTAAATTGCACTAAAAATCTCATTTTGCCCCAACCACACCCCCTGGCGCCGAGGGGGTGTGGCACAACTCCGGAACACATAATTTTACTCTATTTCACCTATAGATTAAATTGCACTAAAAATCTCATTTTGCCCCGACCACACCCCCTGTCGCCAAAGGGGGTGTGGTCCGGTTGCCCCCAAAAGTTGATAGGATCCTCCCCCTGGGGTATTATGTATGATGGCGAAAACCGATTTCGATTATCTCGATCCGTTCTCCTGATATCCTGCTGACAGACAGACGGACAGACAGACAGACAAAGTCTTCACATAAAGTAGCTGAAGCTACTTAATAATTCCAACTTATGAAATGTGTTTCATTAAGGATGAATTATTTATATATCGAATATCATATCTGACAGGATGTAACATTTATAATTTAGCAGATATATACGTAAAGTGAAGAATGTGAAATAAAAAATGTTCAGTAATTATGTAAACCATTAATTTAAATGGTATGGCTAAAATGCTTCCGAATTAGAAGAATCGATAGTAATTAAATTGGGCACTGGTATATTACCACGTGTAAATATTGAGTACCTACATATGTACATATTTATATATGAACTATATCACAAAATTCTGTAAAGCATGTCAAACATTTATCGTATCCAGTAGATACATAAGGTATTGATTTCCCGATATTAAAGTTACAACCGTTTGGTATTAAACTATGTGCATATTATACTGGTCGGTAAAAACTTGCTACCGATGTGGTCAAACTTTAATTCCGAGATATTACTGAACCGTATTTCTTATCGATCCCACTTTGGTAGAGGCACGTACTTATAAATACCGTTTGGTAGATATTATTTTAATACTGGATTTCAAAGAGTTTACATTATGGTACCTACATAATATGTAGGTACCATAATATGTATTTACATACATATTATGTATGTAAATAAATATACATATGTACATATGTGTATGTATATAAGAGACGAACACGTGCACTGATACACGCGTATTTATGTATGGATGTACATAAGTAATATGTATGTACATATTATGTACAAATGTACGCACACAAACTGAACTAGTTATAGAGTGGGTAATATATTACCCACTCTAAAGTCTTTCAGCAGAGAGGGATTATCATCATTGAAGTGAAAAATTGACAAATTTTACAAGTTATAAAATTACTGCGCTTCTTCTCCTCTGCGGATGTACAGGATGTTTACAGATTTTGTGGAAAGACAATTACATGTATTACTTTTGAACGCGTAATTCAATTTGCACCAAATTTGGCACACACAATCTCGAAGGTCACGACCACACCTGCCCAAAGTTTCAAATTTCTATCTTCAAAGATGGCCCCCAAAAGTTACCCCAAAGTGGACGAACCGTAAAAACGGTTTCCGAAGCTATTTTGGCCGCGAAAAGTGCCCAAACGATAATCCAAAAATTTGGAACCCATCTTATCGTGTCCCCCACATATAATTGTATCAATTTTGTAAGAAAACGCCAGTAACTAGTTTCATCCGACCAACGTATGCGACGAAATGCATACCCCTCAAAACGATGAATTCTGCCACCCTGAAGAACATTGATCGCCACGATGGCAATCAGAATCCTGCAACCAAAAGACAGGTCACAATGCAATCCCAGGTGTCTCCTGGACACGTTAATCGTATTGTATAACACAATTTTAAAAAAGCCTTGCAGAGGAAGGCGAAAGTCCGCGCACTTAAATTTACCCATCTGGGAAACAAAAAAACTAACAGTCGGAGGCTGTTTGAAGGTCATGTTGGGAATAAAAATTCCGAATTCGTCGTCACATTGGACGAGACACTCTGCTGCCTTCAAAACTTCAACAGCACAAAAATAATTTGCTGCAAAACCGACCGAAAGCAGATTTCAAAGCATGGGTCTGAAAAGAAGGAAAAGTTGTCTGACTGATTCCTGGTGGCAGGTGCAATGACGGACCGTGGAGTGCGAACATTGATACCTGTTGGGTCTAATGCAAAAATAAACTCGAAGTACTTTATGGACAGTGTTTTACATAAGTTGTTGGAGGTCAAAATTGCAAAGAAGCAATTTGGGGAGCCTGACAAGGTTTGCATCCATCACGACGCGACATTTTCATATACGACCGTATTTACCCAACCGGACCCCCAAGATGTAAAGGCAAACCCCGGAATGACCTCGATATCTTTTTCCGGGGTACACATTAAGTAATCTGACACCACTCTGATGGATTTTTTTGGGCTTGGATGCCTAGAACAAATCCTTTTCAATGGAAAAGATAAAAAATGTCTGTTGTTTGGAAACCCCTTTCACCGATTCCTCCACTTTGAGGTTACTTTTTGCGCTCATTTTTGAAGATAGAAATTTGAAACTTGGTACATGTGTGGCCGTGATCTTGGGGATTGTGTATTCGAAATTTGGCGCCAAAACGGATAAAGGGTTCGCAGTTTACCCATAAAATTGTCTTTCCACAAAATCTGTAAACACCCTCTGTATATATCTCAGCCAAACCTGTCTATTGGTAGATAGTGTTTTTTGCAAATGCCATACTACCTACATAGGTAGTTAAATTTGTAATTGGTTGACATTGCTTTGGTCAAAGTCTAAGATCATACGCTGAAGGACTTCCTAGTCAGATTAATCTGTGACACTACCGAAAAATAATTCCATGTGAGTCATGATTCAGCCATAATCTCTTACCTTGAACTGGTCATTGTTGATATCTAAAATTTTAACCCGTTAGGGACCAACTACACATATTTGTGTAGTTTTTTGCTTTCCCTTGGGGACCAAGTACACAAATATGTGTACTTTTTTGCTTTCCGTTAAGGACCAAGTACACACATTTGTGTACTATTTTGTAGTTACGTTGGGGACCAACTACACATATTTGTGTAGTTTTTTTCTTTCCGTAGAGGACCAAGTACACATATTTGTGTACTATTTCCCCGTTACGTTGGGGACCAACTACACACATTTGTGTACTGCGGAAAAATTTTCAAGACCAAATACACACATGCATACAAGTCAAAATTTTATTTTACAAAATTTTAACACGAACCATTTATTTATGCACATTACCAAAAACTATATATCTGCAAAAACTACAACTGTAGTTCGCTGCAATGCATTGTAAGACTAATTTTAAATTGTTCACGCTCAGAAATAAGCGTATTTTGGAGTTTTCCAGAATAGACATGTTTTCGCCCGTGGCGGAATTTAAAATAAACTTAATTTTTAAAGAAGCAAAAAACGATAATTTTTTTGGAAATTAAAAGTTTTTTTAAATTGATTTTTTATCCCGAGTCAGGGCTTATGTACCCGTCATGTCCGTCTGTCTGTCCGTCTGTCTGTCTGGTTTGCGATAACTGCCGTAAAACTAATCCTATCGACTTGAAATTTTGCACACATATAGTATGGGTCAAATGAGGAGTTGAGTTCGAAGATGGGTGAAATAGGTCAAGTGGTTGACCGGTGGGGGTCATCGGAGTGGGTGGAGTATTACGCACCAAAATTTCAAAATTGTGTTAGAAAGCTGAAATTTGGCATAGAGGTTGCTAATGGTTTATAATGAAGGAATACAAAGTAAAATTTCAAAAATTTTCGTCTGGAGGGACCCGAGGGGGTGACCCATACCGATTTTTAAAATTCATCAAATCGAGCTGAAGTTTGGTAGAAAAGTTGGTAATAGAAGAATATTAATTAAAATAGGAACAATTTTCCCATAGAGAGACCCTATTGGGTAACCCATACTTTTTTTGTAATCTTCGGATCGCTGAAATTTGTTACACAGGATGGTAATTGTTACTAATAGAAGAATATGAATTTAATTTGGAAAAATCAAATTTAATTTTTTAATTTATTGATATGCATTTGCGATAAAATTTCATGCAAAAAGTCGGATTGAGTGATAAGCACAACTTGGCCTGACTCGGGCTATATCAAGTCTGCACTGTAGGTTTTATATTTTCAGGGTAGTAATTCTGAGCAAAAATTGTGTTTAATTTTTGAAATCGGATTAAAATTCGAAAGGTTACAGCGTTTTAAAAATCCTGACTTTGGCGGATTTTTTAAATTCCACCACGGGCGAAAACATGTCCATTTTAGAAAACGAAAAAATACGGGTCCGCTTATTTCTGAGCATGAACTAACTAACTCCGGTCAAGATCAGTGAAAACCACTTGGACCTTGCTAAACTATAAAAATGTATGAATCAATAACTTAATATTATTGTAATGAACTGCAGATAATTTTTACTAATATGCATAAATAAATGCTTAATGTTAAATAAAATCATCAAAAGTTGCCGAAATAAATTCGGTCCTTTATGGTTTGCACACCCACTGTGAAATCGGTGACGTAACTA